TACTGCAAAAAAGTAATCCTTATTTTCAAATATTATTATACCAAATTTTATTTATATATTTTAACAATTTAAAAAGTTGATCAGAGCTAAAAAAATGCAAAAACACAGGCAAATTTGCCTGTATTGGCCTACAATCTAAGGGATAAGGAATTCATTTTTTATACAGATAGATCAGTAACTGATATTAAAACCAAACAAAGCTCAATAGGTATTGGATAGATCCAAGTTAACAATAACAACCAAGTGCTTCATAAATTTTTAGCTAAAATTTACTACTGACCATTAGCTTATAAGGCAGAGCTTTTTTCTATCTTATCTGCAATCTTAACTGTACCTCACAATGCAATACTTTAAATTTATACTAATTCACAATAAGTTATTTCAAAGTTTTATAAACTTTCTATTTAACTTAACAATCCTAACAAACTCTTTAAATTTAATGCATGGTCTTTATGATATACTTTTCTTAATATCATTAAATTATTTAACTTAAACATTAACTTTCACAAAATTCAAGCTTATACAGATAATACTTTTAATAATATAGCTAATTCTTTAGCAAAAAAACACAATTTTTCTTTGCTTTTAATCTTTCAATATACAAATATTTATAATTCTTTTTATATTTTACAATAGAAACAAAATCTTGTTAAGCTTTTTACTAAACATTTCATCAAAAATATCTGCAAAGCTCACATATTAGCAATGTGGTCATTACAATAAAAAAAACAATGAATGAGCTTATATTAATTATTACATAGACTAAAAATCTACATAGTTATATCTTAATCATAACCAAAAACCTTTATCAAATTTTATTAGCTTTAAGCTTAATTAATTCAAAGCCTTTAAAGTCAAAACTCTACTAAATGAACTACCAACATACTTTTCTTTTCACAACATTTATTTAGTTATCTTTATGAATTCTAACTGCTTTTAATGTAATCTTCTTAACTCCTATTCATATTGGCTAACATGCTCTAATATTCTCTTATTATAAACATTATTAACTTATCAGTTCAGCATATTCTATCTAAAGTAAATCTTAATTTCTCTACTAGTTAGCTATACAAACTTACTTGTAAAATTCAAAATCATCTCTCATTTGACTGAATACTATTTTAAGCCAACTCTTTCTATCTTGATCTTATTCTTAAAAGCCTTATACCCAAAGCCCTAATCAAAACAATTTATAATTACAACATATTTACTAAAATAGTCTCACAAATTATTATTCAAATACTTTTTAATATTAATTAGAGTTCTGCAACCTGGCATTTGCTTATATTCTACAAAAAATTTTAGGCCAGAGGCATCAAACTAGGCACAGATATTTAGTACCTAGTCTTAAAAGTATCTAGCAATAATATGCCTAACAGGTACTTTGTGCTTGGCTTTAAAAGTACTAAACACTTCTGTGCCAACAGGCATTTTGTGTCTGGCTTAAAAGTGCCTAGTACTTCTGTACTTACATAACACATTTGCCTAGAGCATTCTGTGCTTAGCTTAAAATTGTCAGACACTTCTGTAACTATAAATGCTTTGTGCCTAACTTAATAATACTTGCTATTTTTGGGCTTATATACTTATATTATTTAAATGACATATTTAAGTATTTATTACTGTTATATCAGTATTAGAATTTTTTACAAATTTGCTTGTAGCTAATATAAGTTTACAGTATATTACTTTATTACATATAATAGAACTAGAATTCTAACTATTCTTATTTTTCTAGCTATTCTACAAATATAATAAGCATTTTTTACTAAAAAAAATTTCTGATATTTTATGAATTTTTTAAATTCATATTATGTTGTTAATTTTAGTAATTTTTAAGATTAATCCTTTTTTTTATAAATTAATATCATAAGCCCAAACCTTATAAATGACTTAGGCTGACAACTTGATGTGTTACAAATTACAAGATTGAATATAATATATTACTTTTATAAGCAGAAGTTTGTTTGATTGGCTAATAAATTCAATTTAATTTTACATTATTTATACAGTTTAGAGTACTTTTTTAAAAAAAAAACCAACTACAATTAAGTAAAAAAAAATATATAGAAGGTTTTATTAGAGCTATAGAACTTATAGCCAAAAATAAGATCTAATTCTCATTCACTTAAAAAAGTTAGTATAGCAATAACTTCTCAAAACCTGATAAAATCAACTTATTACTAAGCTAATTTTTTAAACAGATGAGAATTAGATCTTATTTTTGACTATAGAGTTCTACAGCTCTAATGAAACCTTTTATATATTTTTTTTTTACTTTATTATAGTTGGTTTTCATTTTTTTGAAAAGTACTCTAAACTGTATAAATAATGTAAAATTAAATTGAACTTATTAGCCAATTAGACAAACTTCTGTTTATAAATATTACTTAGATTGAATATATTGTATATTGCAGCTGATTATGAAATTGGATTATTGTGAAATTTGAATCTATTTCATATATAATTTTTAAATTTTTTTGAGCTTTTTTTGTAGGCTTTTTTTTTATAGTTGAGTTAACATTTAGAATTAAAGTTTTTAATAAAAAAGTATAGGTAGTAGGACTTATATTTTCAAATTGAGACCTTAAATTTCACAATAATCTGATTTCATAATTAGCTACAATATAAAATATACATTTTTGACTAAATTTAACTTGTAGGTTATATAATATATTCGATTGATGAGTGACTAACTAGTTGTTTTGACTGTGTCACTATTAAAAATTTTTACTATATTGTACAAATTTTTCTAATACAAGTCTTAAAAAGGTAGTTATATTGATTAAAATTTATTTAGATTTATTGTAATAATCTCTAGCTAATAATTTAAGACCTTACAAACTTTTTGTGTTGATATTTTAGCAAAATATTCTAGACTAATTTTATTTTTATAACTTTATTTAGTTTAAGAAAATACATCAGAACTGAGAAATTTGCAAATAGAAGTCTAAAATTTAAAATAAGAGATATATATATGTATCAAGAAATATGCAGTAAATCAATTGTAATCTGAAAGATCATTAAGAGGACTAAGTTTTTTTTGGCTTTCTACTAATTATAAATGCATAAGAATTGCACAAGAAATAGTTTTTTCATTAAGATTTGCTCTATCATTGATAATAGTAAAGCCAGCTCTTGAAAATATCCTTTCACTAGAAACACTCAAAGGTTTAATACTGAGATAATTACATGCCATTTTACTAAGAATAGGAAATCTATTTGATAATGATTTCCAATATAAGATTCCATTACTTTCTTTCTCATCATTTTTATTTATATATTCTTTTAGAGGCTCTTGTTCATATAGTTCTATTTCATATTCAATTGAGTTTATAGTAGGTCGTGATTTCTTTGAAGTTTACCATATAGGAAAAAATAAATCAGATACAGGATCATCATAACTTGTTATAGTAAGTAATTTTTTTTATAATTGTAGAATTAAATAAAAAAACTTAAAATATGTTGCTATATTTAAATTAAAAATTATATTCGCTAATTTATATACTTATATCTGTATATTTAATTCCATATAAAATAACTTTACATCAAATATCTTCAACAAATAGCTCTGCAAAAGTTTTACTATATTCTTCAACTTCAATTAAAGTTTTTTTTAAATGCTCAAACTTGTACTGTGGATTAAGTACATGAGCAATAATAACATGATCAACTATTGCACTCCAATATTTATTAAAATTTTTTTTTATTAACTAAATTGTGTTATTATAATTTCTAGCTTTATTAATGTGCAGTGCAATTTCTAAAATCACTGTTATTGCTTCTAAAATAGAATTAAATTGATCTTTAGAAAGAACAAATGTGGCAGTTTCAAATGGTTTGAGAAGTTGGCAGAATGATTCAAGTTCTATTAAGTCTTTACACTCTAAGCAAGATGGCATCAATAGCTCTTTTAAAAACATTTCACAGATTGCTAAATGTAAGTGCTGATATCTATTAAACATAACCAGAGTCAAATTCTAATGCATATCAATTTCAATAATAGATCATAAAAACTTTATGCCAGAAACTTAACAATATGATTCTAACATATTTAATCAACTACTGGCTAAAGGGTTTGCCAAATACTTCATTACTTTATGAACTTTTGTTTGCAGTGAACTTATTTCTTTCAAACCTGCTTTTACAATTAGATTAAGGATGTGGCATATGCATTTTGAAATATATATAGTAAATAAATTAGAAAATTAAACTAGATTAAAAAAAAAAACTTAAAAAAATAATTATATAATTAAAATAATAATTATATCTATTGATATTAATTCTATATCTGGTAACTCATTTTCTAACAAATGACTAACTGCCTTGTTTGTGGTAGTATTATCTATCATAAGTGCAAATATTTTATTTTTAATAGAATAATTTTCTAATGTATTCAATATTGTTAATATAATTTCTTTAGCTGTTTGATCAGATTTTTGGAAACTTAGAACAATATTAACTATTCACCACTTATCACTAATCTATAAATCAGTAATTACAACATAATGGCATTTATGAACTGTAGAATGCCATCTATCACATGTTATTGAGATTTTTCTTAAACATTTATTTAATATATTTTTAATAAATTCAAATTTTTTATTAAATATATTACCAGTAAGGTGTCATGATACTGTTATAGGATGTGGAACTTTATATATACTAGTAACAAAGTAAAGCTTTCTTGCCATATTATAAAATAATGATTATTGAGAATGTTAAAGGACATTTCTGTTTCAATAACTAAGTCTATTATCGAATTGTCAACATCTTCTTTAGTAATCTGTTTGAATATTTTATCTTGAATCAAACTTGCTGAAGTGTTAAGACATATTAAGGTATAGTTTTTAAAATATGTTCTACTAGTATTTATTGAATACACTTTAGTTTTACAATGTAGGCATTGCCAAACTCTTTAATTGTTATGCAATACTATCTCCTAGTGATCTTTAGTGAAATATGAACTACTTACTACTTTTGAATCAGTATTATTAATATTATTTTGTGTTGAATTACTAGATATGGAATCATTCAAGGATTCTGTTAAATCTTCTATTTAGAAAAGTAATATAAAGAAATATTGCTCTTTCTTTATTAAAATAGCAATAATAAATATCTTTATTACAGATTAGATTCTTCACTCTACTAATATTGATTATTTTTTATTCAGATAATATACTTTTTTGAACATTACTATATTATTATATTACTGCTTATCAAATTACCACATTATTGCATAACATATATGTATAAGCTAAGTATTATTGCATTATTTTCTCATGTATTCTATATTTTAATTGCTGATTATTAATATTATGAGGTTAAGAGATTACTAGCAAAATGACCTCAAGTCTTACTCAGACTAGGCTTTAGTTTATTAAAAGCACTTGAGTTTCAGAGTTTCTTTTTGATTTTATTAATATTGTAATTATTCTTTTATTATTTTTATTTATTAAATTCACAAACAACTAACTTTTTCTTTATTACAGGTTTGATCCTTTTTTATATTACAATACAACATCTTAACTAGATATTACTATATTATTACAACTAAATGACTACTTTATTACATACAAATACATATAAACTTATTACTATCTAATTATTACTGCATTATCTTATCACATGATTTAGATTTTGATTCCCATACTATCGATTTTACTTATTAATTCTGAACTAGTTGCATAGTATATCAATTGGCCATGTAATAATTAACTTCAATGCCTGAACTAGATAATACCAAATACTGATTACTTATATGATACTTGGCAATAAATTTCTTAAATTTTGGTTTCACTCATTAGCAATAAATTTGAAGCCAATATTAACTATAAATCTGGCTAATCTTAATCCAAAATAGACACAAAATTGCTACATATTGGTAAAAAGGTTATCGACAAAATTGATTAATATAATTGTGTGTTAATATATTAATTAATTAATTAAAATGAACTAATTTACAAAAGGTTAATTTTTATTTATATAGTTTAATGAATAAAGCAAGAAACTATACCTACATATAGTATCAATCTAGTATATAGTTTCTGGATAAATAAATATTTTTTTTTTTTTTTTTTTTTAAACTTAAGCAGTCTTGCTAGTACTTTATTAAAATTCTTGAAATTACTTTTGCAATTACATAGATTTACCTAACAACTAAGTCTAGCATCAC